AAAAAAAAAAAAAAAGAAGAGCATACAGAAAACTAAAGTGAAATTAGTTCTGTGGTAAGGAGTTTGGAAAATACCCAGAGAAAGGGCTTAAGAGTGTAAAGACTTGAAATTGTTTCAGTGGCTTTACTGCTGTACCTCAGTGTCAGGTGGTTCTATTTGGGGTTCAGGATTAACTTCCTTCAATTAGTCATAAGGATACACCCCGTAGCGTTTTGACACTGCTTCCCAAAACAAAGCTTCATTTCACCTCATTGAATAATCCTTATAGTTTGGGTAGTGTTTTAATAGAATGGTTTATAGTTTTGAGAGTTTTGTGAAAGTATTCTTGTACATATAATCAATAAGAGGGCAAAGCAGAATGCCATGGGAGTCAACAAAATAAGATTTGGGGGGAATTCGACCTTCTCTCTTACCCCTCCATTTTTATTAAGGTATGGATTTGTATTAAATTATTCTGGAAAATAATTATTGACATTAATGTAAAACCTTTCATTTCTCTGTAGTAGTGGTGGCGGCGGCGGTGGCGGAGGTGGTGGCGGTGGTGGAGGTGGTGGCAGACGTCGAGATTCTTACTACGACAGAGGATATGATCGTGGGTATGACAGATATGAAGACTATGATTACCGGTACAGGTAAAGTTTTAACTTGAACTTTCTGTTCTAAATTAGATGATAGTGTTATTTGACACTTTAATATTTGGTATGTATGAATAAAAACTTGATGGTTAAAATAGATTACATACGATGCTTTGATAACAGGTTTCTTTGCCTGTATTTTTTTGTGTGTCTGTTTACTGTTCTAGGTCCATATTGGGTACATGTTGAGTGATGAGAAATTTTTATTTTTATCTGCTTCAGTGAAGTAATATGTGGTATGCTAAGTAATCTTTTTTTTCTTACAGAAGAAGATCACCATCTCCTTATTATAGTCGATACAGATCACGATCAAGATCTCGTTCCTACAGTCCAAGTATGTGAATTTTGCTTTTGTAATATTAAAAAACTCATTTCTAATTAATGGCTGATTTTAAAATATTGAGGTATATGTGGCAGTTAATAGTTGAAAAAATATTAGACAAGTCAAACTATAATTGTCATTAACTTCCTTTGTTCTTTCTCTTTCAGGGCGTTATTGATAACAGAATGGTTGCAGTTAAGGACATTTTTTTCTCTGTATTTTCTTTTTTCTGTCTTTTTTTTGGTGTGTAATTCTGGATTTCCCCACACTTCCGATACTTCCTGCTCCTTAAAAAGAGCCCTTAAAAAAATCTGTGGTTTATTTAGCATCTACACTTTCTGTTGTGTTGCTGTTTTCCACTCTTTATTATACTCTTAAAGATGTAATTGTTGGTCATTTTGAGTAGTTAAACATCTTGAGTAAAAAAGGAATCCCAGTGTTACGCTTTGTAAATGATTTTTCTTTGCTTTTACGAAGTTAACTCCTAGCTAATCAAATGAGGAAAGAAATGATCTTTTAAAAGCTTCTTTTGTGTTAGATACTGTAGTAGAGATCTACATTTATGAGGAACTCCTTTTCTTCTTAACTTTCTTTTGGGGAAGTTGGTAACACACAAAACTAGTTCAGTCATGCCAGGTTTGTCTGGGGTGGCATGGAGCAAATAGTTGAGTTTAGAAATTTCGAAGCTATAGAAGAAAACACTTGGACATTTCTTTGGAAGAACGGAATTTTTGAACCTTAAATTAAGTCATTTTTCAGAGATGAAAACTTCGCGGGCTCCTGCATAAAACATGTATTTGAAACACATCTGTTACACCTTAAAAACTTAAAAGTGTGATTTTGTGTTAAACTTATCGAAGTTAAAGTATTCCCTTAATCAGTGAAGGACAACCCTTATTTATTACCTAGAGCAAGTGTATAATTTGCTGTTATAAATTTTGGTATTGGGACAATGGCTAAGCAGGTTATTGCATAGTATAGAGTCCTTAGAAGATACTTGTGGGGAAATGTAGTCTTTCAAATAAAAGTTAATTTCTTTGAAAATGGTATTGTCTCTTTATTGTACAATGGAGAAATATAACTGGATTGATGGAAGAACAAGTTCGTCCTTTTCCCTGAGTTCTCTTAGTACATATTTATACAAAGTTTGCTCATCCTCAGTTGTCATTTCTTATTAATATTGCTTCTTTTCAGGTAATTTTTCTTATACCTGAATGTTTGGTCCTTGTCTCTTATGTGGTCTTTAAAAACTCATTTTTCAAAACACTTTATTTTTTTGAGACAGAGTCTCACTTTATGGCCCCCAGTAGAGTAGTTCATAGCAACCTCAAACTCTTGGGCTCAAGCGATCCTCTTGTCTTAGCCTCCCAGCTAGGGGACTACAAGTGCCTGCCACAACACCCAGATCTTTTTTAGAAATGGGGTCTCCCTGTTTCTCAGGCTGGTGTCCAACTCCTGATTTCAGGCACTTGGGAACTCAGGTGATCAGCCTCCTAGAGTGCTGTGTGAGCCACTGCCCTAGCCTTTTTCCTGTTGTTTTTGTTCTGGTAGACCACATTGAAAGTAGTACCAAAACCATACTGAAGGACAGTCTCAAGTTGTCACCCTGGGTAGAGCACCATGGCATCATGGCTTAACAACAACCTCCAACTTCTGGACTCAAGCTATCCTTTTACCTCAGTTTTTCTATTTTTAGTAGAGATGGAGGGATGTCTTTATTTTTGCTGAGGCTGGTCTGGAACTCGTGAGCTCAATCCACCCACCTATGCTTCCAGAGTACTAGGATTACAGGTGTGAGCCACTGAGCCTAGCTAGTTGTTCATATCTTTAAAAAGCCCATATTCGGCTCGGCACCTGTGGCTCAAGTGGCTAAGGCACCAGCCGCATAACACCTGAGCTGGTGGGTTTGAATCCAGCCCAGGCCCGCCAAACAATGACAGCTGCAACCAAAAAATAGCTGAGCATTGTGGTTGGCACCAGTAGTCCCAGCTACTTGGGAGGTAGAGGCAGGAGAATCGCTTGAACCCAGGAGGTGGAGGTTGCTGTGAGCTGTGATGTAATGGGACTCTACCCAGAGTGACAGCTTGAGGCTCTGTCTCAAAAAAAAAAGAAAGCTGCCCATATCCTAGTAGGAAATATTGAAATGATTACAGTTTATATAAGGGGAGGATATTCAGGGTTTGATCTTAATAAAGGATGTAGGACTAAAACTAGTTATTATGGTCTCTTCATTTGCATTAGAGAATTTTCTAAATCTGTGAGATTGAAATGCCTCAGGATATTGTTACTAAAAGCTAACTTTTCAGAAGGCTCGTCCTTTTAGAAAAAAATCTGCCAATAAAGGATACCCCAAAAAAATAAAATTTGTGATAATTTTGTTGCCCCCTAGAGAGTTTTCGTTAAACCAGATCATTAAAAAGATTGGGGATGTAGTGGCATGCACCTGTAGTCCCTTAGCTACTTGGAAGGCTGAGATGGGAAGATAATTTGAAGCAAATAGTTTGAGGCTGCAATGTGTTATGATCATGTCTGTGAATAGCCACCTGGATATGATAAGGAGACTGTCTCTAAAAAGGTAATAATGAGAAAAATTTTCTTCTAGGAACTGTAATCCTAGCACTGGGAGACCGAGGCAGTGGATTGCCTAAACTTAAGAAGTTCCACACCAGCCTTAGCCAGAGGGAGACCCCGTCTCTAAAAATAGCTGAACATGTGGCAGGCACCTATAGTCCCAGCTACTCTGGAGGCTGAGGCAAGAGAATTACTTGAGCCCAAGAGTTTGAGGTTACTGTGAGCTATGACACCACGGCATTCTACCAAGGGCGACGAAGTGAGACATCTCAATTAAATAAAAACTGGCTCAGCAGTTGTGGTGCCGGCCACATACACCCGGACTGGTGGGTTCAAATCCAGCCTGGGCCAGCTAAACAATGATAACCCCAACAAAAAATGGCTGGGCATTGTAGTGGGCACATGTAGTCCCAGCAGTTTGGGAGGGTGAGGCAAGAGAATCACTTGAGCCCAGGAGTTGCTGTGAGCTGTGAGGTGATGGCATTCTACCAAGGGGGACATAGTGAGAGTCTGTCTCAAAAAAATTTTTTAAAAAGGCATATCCTTTATAAAAATAAAAACTTAAACAGTGTATCATCAACAAAGTGAAAACAGGACATTTAGATGTTACATATGTGGTATGGAGAAAGCAAGAGAAGGAGAATAAAATAAGAGGGAGGATACAGATTTGTATAGCAAATTATTATTATTTTTTTTTGAGACAGAGCCTTAAGCTGTCACCCTGGGTAGAGTGCTCTGGCATCACAGCTCACAGCCATCTCTAACTCCTGGGCTCAAACAATTCTGCCTCCTCTTCCCAAGTAGCTGGGACCACAGGCGCCCACCACAACACCTGGCTATTTTTTGGTTGCAGCAGTCGGTGTTTGGCGGACCCGGACTGGATTTGAACCCACCAACTCAGGTGTATGTGGCTAGCGCCTTAGCTGCTTGAGCCACAGGCGCTGAGCCTTTTTTTGCTTTCTTATCAGACCTAGGTGAGGCTCGAAACTTTTTGCTCCTGGTGTTTGGGAGGCATGCTAACCACAGAGCTATGACAGCCAGTTTAAATAATTGTTGAGAAGCATTTCTGGGCCAGGCGCGGTGGCTCATGCTGTAATCCTAGCATTCTGGGAGGCTGAGAAGGGTGAATTGCCTGAACTGAGTTTAAGACCAGCCTGAGTCAGAGGGAGACCCTGTCTCTAAAAATAACTGGGTGTTAAATGGTGGGTGCCTATAGTCCCAGCTACTTGGGAGGCTGAGGCAAGAGAATCGCCTGAGCCCAAGAGTTTGAGGTTGCTGTGAGCTGTGATACCAGTACACTCTACCCAGGGCAACAAAGTGAGACTGTCTCAGAAAAAAAAAAAAAAGCCTTTCTGAAAATGTGAAGTTTGAGTAAAGATCAGAGGGTGAGGAGAATCTGTAGATATCTGGGGGAAGAAAATGTTAATAGGGAGTAACAAGTATAATGGCCTTAAATTAGTAGCATACCTAGAATATTGAGAAGAGGCAGGAAAGGATGAAGGGTAATAACCACAGGTTTAACAGGTTTGGGTACTGCTGGGGAGTGTAAGGGGAATGGGATGAGAGGTGTAATTTCAACAATCGAGATAAGTTCTTCCCTAAAAATGAGAACTGTTGGAAGTAGCAGGTGCATGGGTCTAAGTATATAGCATTGATAGATATTAGGCTAAAGACTAGATACATCATTAGATTGCATGAATACTCAACACAAAAGTTGGGGTATTTCTGGGGCTCTTCACTTTCCTAAGTTATTTTTTCCAACTTAACTGAGGGTTAAGAAAAATTTAGGTTTGTGCTTCTCTAACTTCACAGCAGTAGTTCTTAACCTTACTTGGGTCATGGAGCTCTTAAAAATTGGAAAATGCAGGCAGCGCCTGTGGCTCAAAGGAGTAGGGCACTGGCCCCATATGCTGGAAGTGGTGGGTTCAAACCCAGCCTTGGCCAAAAAAAGAAAGAAATGGGAAAACACAATCTGTTTTCCCAGAAAAAGGGTACAGATAAAACATTTTTGTATCAAAGTGTTTCATTAATTATGTATCTTGTGTAAGAGGTTTCTTATAGTGGACAATACTGTGGAGAAGCAATCTGTGAAGAGGAATTGAGAGCAACTTCGAGAACTAAGTTTTTTTTTTTTGAGAGTCTTACTATGCTGCACTCTGTAGAGTGCTGTAGCATCACAGCTCACAGCAACCTTAAACTCTTGGGCTTAAGTGATTCTCTTGCCTCAGCCTCCCAAGTAACTGCGACTACAGGTGCCTGCCACAACACCCAGCTATTTTTTTGTTGCAGTTGTCATTGCAGGCCCAGGCTGGGTTCGAACCCGCCACCCTTGGGTGTATGTGGCTGGCCCTGTAACCACTGTGCTACGGGCAACGAGCTACAAATTAAGATTTTATATACAGGGGTGGTGCCTGTGGCTTAAAAGAGTAGGGCACCAGCCCATATGCCGGAGGTGGCAGGTTCAAACCCAGCCCCAACCAAAAACTGCTAAAAAAAAAAAAAGATTTTATATACAAATTGATGGACATTATGCATATTCTTCTCTTAGGTTTAAAGCTCTTGTCATATCAATTGACATTCCCCATAGACTTAAGAAGTAATTATTCCCTTCGCTTGCTATTCATGTTTTTTGTTTGTTTTTAAGAGATGCGGTCTCACTATGTTTCTTAACCTGGAGTGTAGTGGCTAATTATAGGCCTCAATTATGGGGTGCTTCAACTTCTCAGGTAGATGGGACTGGAGGCATGCATCAGTATCTGGCCCTTGCTAGTAGTTTTTTAGGGTATTATTGGTTATCAAACTCTACTTTGAATTTTATAGCAATGTGAGAATGATTAAGCACACATATATATTGCTTTGCTATGATGGCACTTAAAAGTGCACTTGTTGAGGTCTGGCACATTGGCTCATGCCTATAATACTTATACTCTGAGAGGCCAAAGTGGGTGGATTGCCTGAGCTCAGGAGTTCAAGACTGGCCTGAGCAAGAGTGAGAAAAAGAGAAAAACTAGCCAGGCATTGTGGCAGGCACACCAGTAGTCCCACCTACTCGGGAGGCTGAGTCAAGAGGATAGCTTAAGCTCAAGAGTTTGCAGTTGCCATGAGCTGTGATGCCAGGGCACTCTACCCAGGGTGCCAGAGTGAGACTATGCCTCAAAAAAAAAAAAAAAAAAAAACTGCTTTCTTAAATTTGTAGCAGAAAAATACTTAATGGTTTGAATTTTGAATATGTGTAACACCTTTTTGCCTCCAAAGTATTTTGAAATTAAAAGAATTAAATGGTCAAAATTAGTGCAGTTTTGTATTCTACAAAGCAACTCAGATATTGATGTTAAAAGGTCAGGTGAAAAGTACACCATCAACGGGAGTAATGAATACAAAAAGCAAGCAAGGTAGCGGAATGTGATTGTGTGCTTATAAGTCCCAGCTACTCCAGAGGCTGAGGAAGGAGGATGGCTTGAGCCAAG